CTGTTATGAAGTTTGCCTTTTTGCTTCTTGGTACTTTCAGGAGCTCAGGAGCAGCTCAGTAGAATCTATCATCTAGGTCAGCAATAGTGTTTTTCCCAGTAGACCCATCCCAGTCCTAGGAACTTACTGACTGCAGGAGTTTATTTAGAACTCACACAGACTGTGAAGTTCAAGTGTGAAAGATATGTCATGATTAGCATTGATAGCCTCATTTTTTAAGTACTTTCACACTTTTATAAATCCTCAGCTCCTTGGTCATGCAGAGAATTAAAACAACCTAAGATTGAAAAACTAAGTGATTCACTAAAGGTTGTATAGCCAGTCTTTAAAAGCAGATTAAAGCATTATATTGCATGGTTCTCACCTGCAGTTTGTCTCAGATTTGAGGGAAGCTTCAATAAGTGCACTCACATGCATGGCATCAACCCTTCTTCTAGGTTCACAGTTGCTATCTTCCACCTTTGGATCATTCTCTCCTTCCCATCATTTTTCTCCCTTTAAAGGAGTCTTTTGCTATTGGGGAGTATTATCTTTTACTCTACAATACAATGATCCCTCACTTCCCTTGACTTCTCATCTACCCACAAGTCTTCTTCCTACCCTGTCAACTTTGGCATCACCATGTACTTATCCTGCAGCAATAGTCAGCTGGCTGTAGCACCAAGCAATCTGGCTACCCTCCTACTAAGCAACTATGAGCCACAAGTAGATCTACCCAAATCCTTCCCTCCCAGCATGACGGAAGCAGTTGGATTAACTGCATGCATTCAGATTTTTAAGTCTATATTATTTGTCTTTGGAGTTAGCTGTGCATAATAAGAATTTCAGATTTTATATTGAGTTACAGTTCTCCTGCCACTGCATATCTAAAGGAATTCTACCCTATCACAAGGTTACATCTCACAGGACTGAGATTCTCCATAAATGAGCAGAAATACCTGGGTTAAGTGGTCTTAATTTGACAGTTTAAAGTACAGTGAGTTTGAAACTAGAAAAATTTGAAAGCATTTTGGCAATGAGGGATAGCCAGCTCTATATGACTCAGCAACATGCGCACTCAACGTCTCCAAGACAGACTTTGACTTTCAAACTGAACAGTTTTACACTAAAAAAGCTCATTCAAAAGCATGCTAGCCATAACTTTAATTGCTACTCATACCTTTATTTGCTTCAGGCTTTAGGGGGCACAAGATGCAAGAAGCCTATATTCTCATGACCAAAGTATTCAGGAGAGAAATCACTGAATGATTCTTACTTGCTAATCCAATTGTTTGAGTACTTTTTCTAGTGCTGGCTGCTTTGACTACTTTAAGTGAAACCTCTATTCATCCTGATGTGTATAGCTGGTATCAAGATAATTTTGTTTTAAGTAGATGTTGAAATATGTTAGGACATACCCAGATTTTCAAACATCTTCTGAATTGATGTCTCATTGGCATCCACCATCACACGTTTCTCATCCAGCATGAGGACATTCATGGAGAGCCATTTAGAAGACATCCACAGTGGGTGATCTAAACACATGAGAATGAACCTTCTACTGTACCAATGTTGCCCCATATTAATACTCTTAAGAATACTCTTGGAATTCTTAGAAAAGAAAGAGTGAATATACCATCTGGGATGAGTGGCACTGGGGGGCGAATCACAGTCCAGCCTGCTTTCTTGAAGAGCTCAATCTGAAAGAACAATTTAATTAGATTCTAAACAGGGTTCTTAAAGTAGTACGTCCTCCAACCTATGCCATGTTTTCTCAGGCTACTTCAATACACATGACATCCCCTTCCCTCCATTCACTACTCTTGTCCTCATTCAAGTTCCATCTACAAACCCAGTTTTTATACAAGCATTTTTTTTAAAGCCTTTTCAAACTTTGCATACCACTAGCATTTGTTTCTACTGTTTTTATATATGCTAGGTATACTAAGATATGTTAAACACAAACGGTAACACATGCAGTTTGGAGCCTGTGAAGTAAAGATATTAGTAACAGCACAAAAGTATTAAATTATTTATTTTTGGTATTATTTCTTCCCATATGACTGTAAAAGCCATTGATATGAATTACACTGCCATTTATAGAAACAAAAACACCAAAAATACCCCATAAAGTTACATTTGCATCATGCTTCATAAGAAACTTAATATGCAGTTTATTTAACAAAAGGAACAAAATAAAGGCATCCTAGGGAATAATATGTGTCTCTAAGAATTACACAATTAAGTGAAAAATAAGAGGAGGATAATTTGGCTAAGGAGAATTGACTTGTCAACTTCATTGTCTGAATACTTGGAAGAGCTCTTTATTCAAGTGTTACCACGAGGTGGAGCTCCGACTCTGAAAACTCAATAACCAGCCTGGCCTGGAGGATTTTAAAGAAACCCCCCCTTTCACCCGGCACCTCCCCTCCATTTCCTGGTCATCCAGAACTGCCAAATCAGTTCTTGTGAAAGAAAGCTGCATCTATCTTTTCTATCTACACAGACAGCAGTTTTCCATGAAAAAAGTCCCAGCACATGGGTTTAACACACGGAGACCAAGACCCTCCTCTTGCAAGTAAGATTATGAAAAACAGGGGAAGGGAACAGGGGAGGAAAAAACTATGATTGTTTAAAATATGTTCTCATAACAGATATTATAAAAGGCAGTAATTCAATGGGACCATTTACATTGAAGACACTTGCTGTGAGGAGACTAGTATTACTCCTAAGAGCTATGCTGTGTACATGGTTCCACCGTCTCCACTGCACACAGCTCTATCCCACTGATTAAGTACTGGCTCAGCTATTCCCATGTGGTTGTACAGCTCCCAAAATCATGGGGTTCCTCACAAAAATCCTCAAGCACTGACAGTACAGGTAATATGCCTGTAACAGAGATGAGCTTTTACTCTGAAGAGCTTTCCGATATGAGTGCACCATTTAGCAATATTAGCTTTTTCCAAGAGTGAAGTACTAGGTTCTACATACTGAACCATGTCTCTCCTCTGTCCTACTCTCCAAAAAGTATTTCTTGCTCAGTTATTCACAGCTGAATGCTTGAGCAATTACCAGCCTCCTGCTATTGGTACAGTTAACAATACCAAAGGAGAGGCTTCCAAAATAAGAATAAAAAGGGGGATTACTCATCTGAACAGAAAACCCTCAATTTCTCCTTGGATACAATTAATATCTTAAGCAGCGGAAGTGTTCAGAGAAGCAGTATATCCTATGTACTTGCTTTGTTACTACATTATTACAAAATAGATCACTTCCATCACATTTAAACAATGCACATAGGAAGAAACACACAACACGTCCTCCTAGCTTCGCAATAAGAAAGCACAAAGAGCAGTAGCAGAAAACTGGGGGAGAACAATGGTCATTGTACTGCTGAGAAAGTTCTAGAGTCCAGATGCAAATACATCTACAAGTTCCTGAACAGCTGTCTGAGTGCTATTTAAATTCAATCATTTAATATTAAAGTGTATACAAAATAAACTTGTGGATTAGCAATTATCCAGCAGGGACCTAGTCCAGCTGAGTCATTTTTAAACACAAAACACTTTCCCCTCTGCTACACTCTTACCTGATGGCAGGGACGGTCTGGGTTAGAGAGCACAAGATAAGGTCCAATGATATTAAAAGTTGCATCAATGTGCATAGGGTTAGGATCCTTAAAGGATATTACATGCACTCGATAGTCTGGTGCAAGATGTCGCCTCATCCATTCAATGCCCATGTAATTTGTAACCTGGAAACAGGACAAAGTAAGTTTCGCTAGGCTAGAATATAAACTGCATCCAAGCTTAGTTTATCTAAGGTTTTATTTAAATAAATATTTAAAGACAAAATAATAGAAGTTTGTGCCTTTAGCTAATCTCTTAGCTGTAAGACAGTCTCGTCCTGTATATGAGATATTATACAAACAGCAACTTCTTTTGTCAACACTATTATTTAATGCTGTCCAGAAATTTAAGGAGGCATAAAAACAAGTATCAATCATGAAGACAGATACCAAAACTGTTGGAAGAAACCTTTGTTTACCTGGCTCCTTTGTACAAAGATATCTCTTCCAGCTCTAATGAAGTCAGCAGCATCAAAGCATGGCTCAAATTCAGTAGTTACAAATTTTCCCTGAGCAGCCAGTTTATGCCTGTCTTCAACAGAGCGGACTGGATAATCCTAGTTATAGAAAAAGCAATAACAACTTTAGGCTGGAGATGCTAAGGGAAAGTTTTCAAACTATTTGCTATGGAAGAGTATTTTGAAATGAAGAAAATATGTTTATACTGATAGCTAGTATATTCTTTGGAGGTGGTTTGGTTTACTTGCTACTAGAATAAAAAAAAATGAAGCGTGAATGTGGAAGTTTAAGTAAAAAGTTTTAAGTACATTCAAGAATAGGTGATGAGATAAGAGATAGTTACACCAAGAAGTTAATTGCTCTTCAGAGCCACTGTCTCTACAATATTCTGGCTTCTGGATGAAAAGTATTCATTACCAGTGGAGTTTAACTATCAGTCCAACAAATCACTGCACAGTGATAGAAATACTGGTATGCAAGCTATTGCCTAACAAAGGTGGATTCCTTACTTTTTCCACTTTTTAGAGTGGAGCAGTACTTCAAGTTAGAAGGTAGGAATTTAAATAGATTTTAGAATGAAACAATGCAATTAAGAACAAAGGAGGTAGAAAAAAATAGCACAAACAAAAACTACTGGATAAGTAAGCATGCTTTAGAACAGGCTCTGGAAGTTTTCTAATACTGACAGATTACTCTAAGGTAATAGTGTTTAACAAAGACTTCTTTGCATCACTGATAAGATGTCACTGTTCCCAGGAAGTTACAATCATTCCACATCCAGTTTTCCTGCACTTATTGTAGATGCTGTTGCCAAGGCCCTAATGTATTTGGGGGCCTATAGGAAGCTACCAAAATTGTCTGAGTCAAAATTATTACAAAAGAAAAAAGTAAGAAAATATTAACTTAAATATTTGGAAGGTAAATAGTCACAGTTCAGATCCTCCACTATTTCTTTTATGTAACTTTGAAAATACTAATCATCATGCAAAACAAGGATTATGAGCTTTTTTTCCTGTGACAAAATATATATTCTTTCCCATTTTCCTGATACACTCAGGACATATCGACATTCTCAGGGAATCTCAATTCTTTAAAGTAATCTTTGTGATGTCTTTCTAGCATTGCTTCCTCTTTAGTAATGCTAGGTTACAGCCAGTAATCAAAACAATTCTAAGCAGACTTGAATTCAACAGGCACAACTTCCTGTTTCTTATTCTCTAATTGCACACACTCAGTTTCACCTGGAAAGGCTAGAGAACATTTGCATACATTAGAAAAACCACAAATTTCCAGAGTTGTTTTGCTCCCCCCTCTACCCCCCAATTTTGTGAAACCTAGATATCAAGTTGAAATTATCAACAGAATTCTGTATAACCAGAACTGAAGTTCTGAAGCAAAATGAGAACAATACCTGATCATAGAGTTCATCTGCCATTGTGGGTTTGGGGGCAGTTGTCCACTTAGCACCACAGTTGAAATAATCTTTGATTATTCGTCTATATGCTCTGTACTCAAAGAACCGAGCACGCCAAGCCATAGGCGCTTCAATAATTTCATTTCCCACCACCAACAGGATGTCTCTTGGCATGGCAGCATACATACCTGAAAGGAAAAAGGCCATTAACCCACAAGCCAAATATGCTTTTCTCAGCTCTTTCAGCTTATTTGCTTTTCACCCTCCTTTTTACTATTACTTCTGTCCAAAAGACTGGCAAAAAACATCTTTACAAAAGCCAGGGAACCAGCACATAATTTGAGGTCCTTACATTCCTCAGGAAGTTTTCAAAGTGACATTTTTTTGTTCAAAATACATGCAACATTTTGCTACAAAGCCCCACTCATAACAAGTTCACGGCTAGATGAAAGCCATGCGCAATCTACAAGCCTCCACTTCATAATTTGGTTAATGGAAATTAACTAGACAAATGCTTATGAATTACCCAGATGACTTTAAAAGGTGATGATGGGTAGCAAGTTTTCCAAGTGGACCTCATTTCTTTACATGCCATCCTTTTAAAAAGTAACAGCACAGAAGAGGAATTTGGTGGAACACAGAACTAGTGCAGGAAGCAGTCCCATTAGACTTTTCATTATCATTATCTGTTCCCTAATGAATTTGAATTCCACTAGAACAACTTAAGAACATATTTGACATGAAAGGAGCCTGGAGACTACACTTGATGCAAAGCCAAGTATGAGCCAGTGTGCTCTCACTGCAAATAACCAAAGCCACGTGGTGCTATACAAGGAGGAACGTGGCCAGTAGGTAGACAGACATTAAAATTTCCTTGACACTAGTGAGGATCCTCCTGGAAAACTGTTTCTAGTTTTGGCCTCCATAGTTTAAGATGGATCCAACTCTAGGATCCAACCAAGGGCTATCAAGACAGTCAGGGGGGCCTTACAGCACATGACCTGGGAGGAAAAGTAAAGGAACCTCAGCTTATTTTGTGTGGCAAGTAGGGGACAAAGCAGTAACAGCCTACAGCTACTTTCTGGGCCATTAAACATGACAGATGAACCCTTCTTGGTACTGGCAGTAACAACATAGCAAGGGAATCTGGCAACAGATGCTGGTGTGGGAAGTTCAGGTTAGGTGTTGGGAAAACTTCTTTCATTAGTAAGTCCATGCAGCACTGAAACAGGTCAGCAAACCAGGTGGCAGAATCTCCATCCCTGGAGATTTGCCAAGTGATAGCTACACAAAGCCATCACTGACCTCATCTAGCACTGGCAATAATCCTGCTCCAAGCAAGAAGGTAGACTAGATGACATCCAAAATGTCTCAGACAAGAATTAAGCAGACAAGGCCTTCAACAACAGAATAACATTTACCTGTAGACTCAAAATCAGGTGTTTTGTACTTCACGGACCAGTCAATTGGATCAGGCCTCTTGACAATTACACCTTCTCTTTTCAAAATATTGCACATCTCCTCGATTTCAGCAATAGCTTTTTTTAAATGGTCTTTGGGGAAGCTCTGGCCTCCAAATTTCTGATAAAATCCCCAATACTTTTCATATGTGTTGGCCTAAAACAAAAGGACAGGTAAGTGACAAAGAATAAGCATCAGTTATTTTGGTAGAGTGAATTAAATGCATAAGACACAACTCTTAATGTTCAAAGTTTCTTGTTCTTCTTTCACTGACTTCCCATTGCTCTGTATGTGTTATGACCGTAACATGTCGTAGTGTGCCTTATATTTGATTCCTGCAATATTTTGAAGAGTTGCTAAGAATTGTTAATGTCGTGCTGATTCTTATAAATAAAGGGGCGGGGGGAAGGAAGGGAGGAGCTTCAATGCTTCAGATAAACGCTCAATTATTCCTGGTTGAGAATCCCTATACTGGTAACACTCTGCTGTCTTTATTTTTTCTTACTACTTCTATTTATACACACCATTGGCAAGGTTTCACTCAGACTTTTTATGATATGCATGGATCCAGTCATTAAACTTACGTAAGTGCAGGTGCTAGACTAGTTGTGAATGGCTGATATCTTCACAAATACTTACACACAGTAACAAAGTTAAGTTTCAGCTGCATGTGCTAAGCAGGCTCATTCAACTAGCAGATAGCTTCAGTACTGCTGACAGACTGTACATGTGGCATGATGCCCAAGAAAAAAAGTCTGCTGAGGAATAGCAGAAAAAACAAAGGGAAAGCTATTCTGGAATGTGGAGAAGTACACATTTCATTCCCACTTGCAAGTTTAGTTTGACTTGTAGATAGGATTTTCAGGATATTTAATTTCCTCATATTTTTGGATATAGATGGATCAGTAGCTTATATAACTTGTTTCTACTGATAGAAATACTATTATAAATAATGTAATAAATATTTCTAGAAGTCTCTTCCCCTCTTTAGCCATAGCCCTACAGAAAGTTTCATTATTTATCAAATCACAGATGAACACCAAGAGACTACATTACACTTCAGTTAGTATTTAGTGGCTAGTATTGCCAAGTGGCCATGAAAGACTTGGTCCTTATTACACTAGACCTGTATAAACACACCAAACACAGCAAACCCTATAGACTGTGCTATTTAATAAGGCTAGCAGACATGTTTTTAAATGAAAACAACCTTGAGCTCATCTCCACAATGCATACATCTGTAGTCACCTTGTTAAAACCTCACTTTGATACCATCATGGTGGTGACACCAGGAATTCGAAAGCCATCCCAAGTACAGGTAACATGCCTTGTTGGCTAGAAGCGGCTGTACTTCAGGTACAGCAGCAGTCTAGAAAATGCAAGAGATACTAAATTCACCTGTCAGGGTTGGATTAAAACAAGTACAACATTTACAGGCCTAAATCCTCTGCTCCTGAAATCCTGTGAGTGTCTTCTCAAATTAAAAACTAATTCAAAATAATGTCCTAGTTCTCATGGTTAAGAAAATCCTGACACATGATCAAAACAAATGATGCTGCTTCAGTTCAGTGTATCTTTGAAAGTACTTCATTCAGATTTATAAGCTGTGAAACCAGCAGTTTTGATGGGTCTCTGCTAACATGAACATGACAGAGGAACAAGTGCATATGGAGCCCTTCTGGAAGGACAGCAGAAGGAGTCAGGAAGAGGTGAGCAAGTGGTCAGGCCTTCCTTCTACCAGAGTCCTGCTTATTCAGGCAGCATGAGTGACAACAATGAGATGCAGGAGAACCTGCCCTCCCAAACAGGAGGTTTCCTCCTCACACTGCAGTCCCGACTGCCTTCCAGAAAGCAACGTTCTGGACAAAAACAATGCAATGATGTTAATTTTGTGCTAGTACTGTCAGTGAGCCCTGAGCAGGCAAGGCCATTCATCTGAAGGCATGCCTGATCACCTTTAACCATCCAGGCTATCCACTGTATTCTCTACTATTCCTGGATATTTGCCCTCATGCTAGAGAGGTAAGATAGAAGAGAAAATTTAACCTTTTGGGCATCCTTAATATTTATATAGAGAGCCCAGGCAAAGGTCTCAGCATGGCCATCCTGCTCCTCCAGTACTGAAGCTTCTTCCTGTCCTTCCTGAAAGAATTTATTCTTTTTCTCTAAGTGAGGTCTTGGGTAATTTGATCACCTCAGACTTGCCAGCTGTTCAGAAGTCACAGGCAGATCATATGAAGCGCCTAGCATTCCTATGGAAACCTGTTCCGCTAATGAGACAAATTTGTCCTAAGGAGCAAAGCTAGTTATTTTCAGAGCCACTCATAATGTACTTGAATATCATTAATTCCTAAGAGGTGCAGCTCCCCTCTTCACCAGGTGTCCCCTAGTACTGCTCTTTTTCAAACCTGAGAAATGACACGTGTGTTACACTAGTATCATGGCATAATCTTAAGACAGAGTAAGGGTTAACACCATAACACCACTCATATTCCCTACCCTCTGAATAACTGGGAAAAGGATATATGATTGGGACATCTATTTCATACCAATTCAGGGTTGAGATTCCAGGCCCCTTTGATCATATACATACAACTCATTTCAGACTGTTCAAAAAGCACCATGGCCAGGACACAAAAGAGAGCTTTAAATCATCTCCTCAATGCACCTTATAACCTACTGTCTGAGAGTACCTGAGAAACTGTAGCAGCATTTCAGAAAAACCCTTTCTTTTCAGAAAGAAATTTAAGAGTGTGCTGTAAGGAAAAGATTGTCTTTAAGAAACAGAATTACCCCCTATAGTTGCTATATATTTTAAACATTTGTTGTGGAAAATAATCAACATTATCAATGTTAATGCTCTCAAGATGTACCTTAAAGCTAGTAATGACAGTTATTAAATTTAGTACACTGAAACAAAACAAAAATTCAGATCAAAATGCTTTTTGCCTAACTCAGTAGTAAACACCCCCACCCCCACCCAGCTACTCACTCAAGATATAATGATCTGTGGTAATAATACGTCTTCACCAAAAATGCATTATTATTCACAAAATATACTGAGATACATTGCAGAGTACAAAGCTATAAAGCTCAACTGTTTGACTAAGTGTCAACTGCTTCAGAAGAACACATCTGAACAGTGAGATTTTTGACCAAAGTGCTAATTCAAAAAAAGGACATCTTCCTAATTAATGTAGTTGTTAACCTCCTAGTTAGGATTTCCCATGTTTCCCAATAGTGTATTTACCTCTACATAACCTACATAGCCCATTTCAAGCTCCCAAAAGGATATGCAATAAAGTGTTGGCTCATTAATATTCATCAGATATGTAGGGCTCCCTATTCAATTCATTCCTTCCTCCTTATACCAAGTACATCACTCCTACATTACAGCAAAAAGACTTGTGTATACCAAAACCATGTCTCAAAGTACAAGAGAGTGCCGAATGCAGCCATACTTCCTGCACTTAAGTATTTTGTAAACATACATACATACAATCTTAAAACACAACTTAGAAGTATCTCAAAGCAAGTATTTACCAGAACTGTTATACTTCAAGATGTGTTTTTTAAAGCATCTCAAGTCAAAAGCCTCAATTTTTCCTTCTACAACTCAAATTCTCTAGTTTTAAACTGCTGTTTTTATAACCAATGACCCTCATTCATGCTTGGCAGAAGGCATGTGATAGACATCAACCCTAATATTGCTACTTACAGGGACAGTGGCAGGGATTTCTTGCTGCTGTATTACACTGGAGCAACACACACGTACACACCTTACCTTTCAGCCACATAGCAGAGATATGAACACTAATTGAATCTATTAATATCTTTCAGTATTGGCAAGGTAGGATTTGGATTACTGTTTGGATTATTCAGCAATGCCCCCAGGTAAAGTTACTGTTGCAGTTTCTTACAGCATAATTTAAGACAAAAGCAGAGAAAACTAGAGGAAACCACATCTTGGCTGGCATGAGCTATTATATTACCTGTTGTGGCCAATGTATTCTTTAGACTTGGCAGTTTACATAAAGCAAAGCTAAATCTTGCTTTAACCCCAAGTTGTAGGTATTTGAATTGCAGAGGTAATCCTATACGTTGACATTCCTCATTGAGCTTTTGATATTGCATGTAACAGAAAGTGAAGTTTTGACCTCACTTGATTAGTTATGGCTTAATAGGCACTAGAACCAGGCTAGCTGTATAGCATGTGACACTTCAAGTTAGACATTTGAAAGAATATCTTTTCTGATATTAAAGCAAGCTGTTGCTCACTACTTGAGAACAGAATTTTGCCTCATTTAATGTTACAATGTAAGAAAGTTAGAAATTTTTTCCCTTACTCTTCCTGTACGTTCATTATGGCAGTTTTAAGTACATAAATGCACATACGTACACTTGTATATTAGAAATGCCAATCCTCATTCACTTCTTTTTCTGAAGCTGCTAGAGTATCTTTGGAGTGTCTGAAACAGGATTCCAGAGGCTGGAATGAGCTTCAGCTTTCAAGGAGTAAATACAAGTCATAATGAAGTCAGCGGTAAAGTTTTCATTGCACTCACTGGGGCCAAGATATCATCTCAAGTGTCCCAATGTAAGTCCAATGATTACTTTTCTATCTGGGGATTAGAACTACCAAGCTGCGGTAATTCATTCACACTCCTCCAAACAGTTCTGCCCAGAATCATAGCCCAGATTCTAAAGAAAAATATATAGACATTAAACGGGCTGGGGGAAGAGAAGTCTTCTCCACAAGTACATCCCAAACTTCCTCTAAACTACCATTTCCAGCACTTTAAACATATTTTTAGTATCTTTGTTTGCCATTCCTTCTATGTCAGAGCAGAAGAATTCCCTTTCTTTTTTTAACTGAGGTCTTCTGGTCAACTTTGTCAAGATATCCTTTAAAATATTACTAAGGTCTCTTCAGCAAAGTAGCATGCCAGCTCCTGTTGCTGTGATAGCCAGGGATTACGTGCTGCCTTGTAGGCAGTACTGTACTGTGACATTGGAAGAGAACAATTCAAGATCATCCCCACAGATGCAGGTAACAACACATACTTAGCAACTTTAAAGTCCAGGTAAAGTACACAATAAAAATCTGGAGCGAGCCCGTTGTTTAAGTGTTCCTGTTCTAAAACACATTTCAGCAAACAAAGAAATGTGGATTTATTTAGGTTGCTGTTGTAGTTTTAGGCACCAAAAAACTCTGAAAAACAGAGGAGTATGTATTTCCATACAATACTTACTGTAGCACATGAGAGTTCCAGTGAGCTATTTAAGAGCCATTTAAACAGAATGGTCCTGCTAGTCTACAGCTATAGAACTCAATCTTTCTCAGACTATTAAGGAGAAAACTGTATTTTTTTTTTTCAAGTGGTAACCCTACTTAGTTTTGAGCCCAATTAGAAAACTATACTTTTTTTTCAAGTGGTAACCCTGCTTAGCTTTGAGCCCAATTAAACTTTCATCAGTCCTACCAACTATCTCAACTGCTAGAGCGTGTACCTTGATAGCATCAGGGCTATGTTACTAGAGCAAATTGTACATATTAGAGATTCTCTCTACTACTGACTTCTGTTAAAACAGCTAATTCAGTTGAAAGTGGGAAGAAAAAGCATATCCCCCGCTAACATGGCTACGCTGTAAAATTTCACAGATGTAAACAACTACTTTGAAAGAAGAACCCTCAAGAATAAACACCACACCTTGTGCACTGTAAAGCTTAAGCAAATTGTATATATAAAACCCACATTATTTCCTATTTAAGGTTGGTTTTTTATTGTTTACCTTAACCTCCACAGAAAAAGGGGGGACACAAGCATTTTCAGCTCTTCCCACAATGACCTCTTCCAGTGGGTCCCATTCATTGTATGAGCAAACAGGACAGTCCTTAGGCACAGAGCTAGTAGCCTTGTCATCAGCAGCACAGGTGTTCTGGGAGGCTGTAGCTGCCTGGGTGCTCTGGAAAGATCGCTGCACCCATCCTGTAAAGACTCTTCCAAGCTTAAAATAAAAATAAGAATGAAAATTACGTTTCCCTTACAAAAGGCAAAAAGCAATGCTTCAGTCCACAAGTGCCTTCCACTGTAATCCCAAAGCAACGTACATTATTTGGAGCATTAACAGAAACACACGGTTTGTTACAGCCATTCTAATTTATTCACAGCCCACTAGATGCTTAAAGGACAATTCACCTTTTAAAATACACTCAATTTAGGAGGGTAATGACATAGTAGCACAGCACTGACAGTGGCCAGTAGAGTCACTGAACTCCGTGCGGCTGAACTGGGAGGATGCACGGGTGAGCCTCAGCCAAAGAAGCCTGCAGCCGTCCCGCGCCCGCTCACCA